AAAAAAAAAAAAAAAAAAAAAAAAAAAAAAAAAAAAAAAAAAAAAAAAAAAAAAAAAAAAAAAAAAAAAAAAAAAAAAAAAAAAAAAAAAAAATTCATCATCATATCGTCATTGACGCCGTCATTCATAGCATAGCATATAGCACATTCTAATTAGCGATAAAGAGAGACATCACGGTCATTCATGTTCAGTCAATGGGTCCAATGGCATCATTCTGGTATTCTCAGCTGCGTGCTCGACTCCATCAGGACCGCCCCGCTGATACTCTGCTTGAGTTTCTCGCGTTTGGCTTCCCGACGGTGTTCGGCGTGTCGCTGCCACGTGCGTCGCACTCGTTTGCGGATGTTACGGATCTTATTCGTTCGCAAGCGCAGCCGCCACCATGACAAAGACCGGAATCGCTGGTGGTGGAGCGATGTCTGCGAGCAGAATGCCTCGGGGCTGAAGACTTGGCTTCCTACGAGCGTGCTGCGGTTGGCGAGGTGTCGACTGGCTTGTTCGGGCCGCCGCCTGGCACCTGGGCTGCGAAGCGCAGGGCCCTCAAACACAACGCGCTGCTGCGGCATGCCCAACGAGTTCTTGATCACTAGGTCCGACGCCTCGGGGTCTGGAGCTGGCGAACGCGGAGCCACGCGAGGCGATTCTTCTGGTTCCGAGTCCTCCCAGAACCGACGAGGTCGCCAAAAGGGCTGCTGTCGCCCATCGATGTCCTTGCCGGCCTTGCGGTTCTTCACCGACGTCAGTGACAATGAGCGGACGAATGAATTGAAAGAGTCAGACCGAGGACGTACCAGCCACGGACGGCGGCCCGGGCCAAACCGACGGCCCCGGCGTTTACTTGGTTCGTTGGTGTAACCTGCCCCGCCCGGCTGACTGTCGACGTCTTGCACGGGTGTCGGTGGCACGACCTGGCAGATGGGCGGTTGTGGTGGCTGGCGGGGGTTTTTGAGCGGGGATGTCATCTCGTAGCGTTGAGTGGGCGATTCTTCCATCCTGTGTTGGTACAGTTCAGGGTAGTCGGGTTGCCCTCGCTGTGCAGACGGGGCCTGCGGATCGACCAGGAGCAATGATTCATTGTTGTGCGGGAAGAATACAACAGTCCTCGCCTCGCTGACTTCGATCAAGCCAGGAGAAGATGAGGGGATCGAGATTTGTGTGTACGGCATCGATGGTGGGCGCAGATGCGACATGTCTTCCACTCCAATGATAATGGACTGCGTCTTGGATGCTTCCGCAGCATCGTGTGGCTCTCGAGCGACGGTCTCTGCTTTGGCTGGACGTGGCGGCTCAGCAACGCGATCATGAGTCCCCTGTTCCGTAAACATTGCATGATCCCGCAGACTCTCCGATGTCAGAGATGTAGTCCGGGAATTATTACGACTGGTTGGTGCAGAGAGCGAGGAGCTGCGAGCCGGGATACTCGGTCGGCCAGAGTGGCGACCACGAGATTCCGCCCGCCTCGTGCTGCTCGCAGTCGTGTCGGATGTGCGCTTCTGACGAGGAGGCTCGCGAGAGCCAGGCCGACTACCCGATGCGGACGGGCCCTGCCGACTCGAGTGGCGCGAGCGGCTTTGCGAGGTATTCCTGCTGGTTGAAGTGGACGACTTAAGGGAAGAGCGTCGTTCCGGGATCACAACCACTGGCACCACGTCCACGGTTTGTTGCTGGGTGTTCACACTGGAGGCCCCAGAGAACGAGATTTCCGACGCGATGCTCTTGCGGTCACTCTCGGTGATTCGACCAGCTTTGTGTACCAGGCGATGTTGCGAGTCCGCGCTGGAAGCGGTTGATGCATGTTCTGGGCTGGGAAAAGGCGAACTAGCCGAACGCAGCGAGCCCCTCTTATCGGTATGGCGCAGGGATCTTCGGGTGGACCTTGGTGCGTCGATGATCATCACCTCGACAGTGGACGAGGACATGGAAACGTCTGACAGCCGGCGAGCGTCATCGTGCTCGGCAGAGTGAGGCTGGTCCTCCGCACGTGGCCAGCCAATCTCTTCGCGAAACTGCTCAATGGATAAGCCACCAACTGGTTCCTGCGCATCCCTGACAGACTCCCGTAAATTTGAGCGTGCTGGAAGAGCTTTGGTGTTTTGTGTCTCTCGACCATTCATATCGTAGCCCTGTTCTGCGTCCGCATTACGGATCCTAGGAACTCCATTCCTCGTAGACTTCTTCCTGCGCGGCGGCGACACCTTGGATTCCGCACCATTATCCATCTTTCGTTGCGCAGGAGTCTCCATCGCGGACGGTTGGAGGCGCTGAGTACGAGGACCAGGAACCGGTGTCGACTCTCCACTCCCTCGGTCATCATAGTCCGCCGGCTCGTCCCTCCTCAACGATTTCTGTCTGGTAGGCAACAACGACTGCGTCGACTGGCGAGGAGTTTCCGTCTCCGCGTCCGAGATCATTTCATAAGCTGTCCGAAACGACTCGGCGTGCGATGAGGAGGAAGAGGACAGTCCAAAGTGCGACAGTCCCGGACGCGGGGCTGAAGGAGCGGTACGCGGGGGAGTAGTTTCAGGCGTGGGTGGATGGGACGGCTTGGAGGTCACCGCCCCGTTCACGGAGTAGGATGAAGTAGCTTTTGGCGTGCTTGTTCCGCTGCTCATGAGGTCTTCGCTCTGAGCAACTCCAGGCGGCGTTATAGGACGGACAAGAGCGGCTGCCAACGGGGTGGCATTTGAAGGGCGGCCATGCTGAGGTTGAGGCGTTGCCTCGATGGCTGGAGGGCTCCAGAGGACATTTGGCCTTCGTCGTAGAGACTTGTGGGCCCTCAACTGGGGCGGGTCCAGGTGTCCTGGTGAGGCGAGAGACGTGTTCACGACTTCCAGGCCAGGCATGGTGAGATGGCCCAACTGTCTGGGATGCCCAATTGGCGGACCCGACGGTCGCGGCAATCCGGACTGATATTTGTCACAAGCGATCGCAGTGGGTGATTGGCAGGAGAAGCATTGACACTTGAGTTGTTTCAATGGAGATTGGTCCCAACTGGTAGCTGACGTCGTCGCATCGCCTGCTCACCGCGGCAATTCAGAGTGTCAGGGTCGAGTTTCAAAACAGAAAGAGTTACTACAATGGAATAAGAAAATCCCACGACGTGACCGTTGTGGACAACGGCTACCTTGTACACATTCACTGGATCTTTTCTTCCTTATCTTTTGTTTTCTTTTCCCTTTTTTCTTTCCTCCCAACCCTGGACAAAGTTTGTTGTAAAAGCAACTGAGCGGCGGCCAGCAAGGGAGGGAAGTGGATGGCCAGCGCAAGGGGAGAGAGACGGTAACTAACGAATTAATGCCCGCCCCAGCGCGTCTTACAACCCAGACCGATGCCAATTCTTTTCCGGTCAGCAGCAATGCTCCTCCAGGGGCATCGGCGATCCAAAAATAGAGAATATAGTTAATAAGAATTGGGGCCAGGCAAGGCGTGACACGCAGGAGGAGATCTCGTTGGCACAGAAAAGATCCGAGGAGCGCAACGACGAGGCAAGACAGGTGAGTCGCAAAGACATTCCACGTTGCGGATCCAGCGCGCGGTGCACTTGGAGGACCGCACCAGGTCAATCCGGGAAAATGACCGCGATTAAAGTCGTGGGTCGGCTTGGCAAACTACATGGAGGAAAGCAGAGAGCGGAGGATAAGGCCCAAGTATCGCAAGGCTGGCTAATTGATGGTCTGGAGAAACCCGACCGAATGGAAGTGGGAGAGGATGAGGGGGAATGGATGGAGGGATTGATTTGTTCGGAGAACCGGCGACGATCCAGTGACTCGCCCTGCAGTTGTCACGGGATGCCCCGAATGCTATAGGTTCTCACTACTATAAGACTAGGTCTACTACGATGCCATATAGGACCGGGAAGTACCCGAGGCATGGAGGTGAACGCTACACAGTACACAAAAGTACACAATTAGGTTGTGGTGTCGACCACTGTTGAAGTACTTTCCCCTCAAGTATATCGACACCGCCGGTTGCTGTAGGTTCCTGATCGCGTTGAACAGGAATTGCATCATCGATGACATGAGTCCCCCTGCAACGTTTGGCAGAAATCTCGGGAGTGGCGTGTTGTAATCCATGGTCGACCATAACTGAACCGTTTCCCAGACCGGGAAGCTTTCAGCAAAAGAGGACCCGCGATTGTGATTGCCGGCGCTTGATCGGATCCGACTTTCTGAAGAGAGAGGAATGAATGGGTAGGAGAGCAGCCACTTAAGTAGGCACGGGATGGACCCCCCCCATACGAGGGATTAAACTGCGCATATGATGACATGACGACCAGTGCGTGAGAAGGGGTCTGACGATAATTCGAACCAGGAATAGAGGGCTAGACCGAGATCTTTGGAATTATCAGGACAGAGATTGTATCTCGCGTTAATCTAATCGACTACGTACTAATTGTCATTTCCAATCTGAATCAGTCATGAGGAGAACTCGAAGAAATCATGACGAGATATGACGCAGTGTGTGACGGTCAGGGAGCAGCCACCAGATAAAAGAAACATTCGGGAGTGATGAAGCGAGATGAGAGAGAGATTAAGTATGGGGTTAGTGAGTAGTACTAGTAGTGGTCGTAGATGATGATGATGATGCCGATGATGCCAGAGTAAAAGAGAGACATTCGGCACGCGAGGCTGGCTGAGTCAGCACCCACCGTGGGAGACAAGACTAGTAAACTAACCCGAAACGGCAACCCAGCATAGGCGAAGATCCCCTTCGACGTCATGGCTGCTTGCAATTCCACCTCCGCTGGCCGATGACGCTCCATGCCGTTCATTTGATTTCCTCTTTTTCCCTTTTCTTTTTTTTTATTCAGAATTATTTTTATTTTTATTCCACGCTTCCTCTTGGATCGGCATATTTGGTCTGAATTTATAATCTTAATAGCCTCTCATCCGCCTTCATCCGCCGATTTTCTGATTCCTGCCACGGTGCTCCCTCACGTTGTGCTGCCTGCAGTCTGTCCAGCTGCCCCCATCCATCCATCCATCCATCTGCCCATCGGCCAGCATTTCCCCACCATCCCGTCCTTACGCTCTCTCTCCGTCCCATCTCAGCTGGAAGAGAAAGGGAAAGAAGATTAAATTAAAATTAAATTACCCTACGACGATTATTTTGTGACTGGTGTCCCGTCCATTCTCCAATCTATCTCAATCCATAATCTGTGACTGTGAAGTTTGACAGTCCGTCTTGTGTACTGTGCAGCAGCAGCAAGCAGCAGTGATCTCACTAGCAGGTAATTAAAGAATAATCCCAAAAATACCCTCCCCTCCTGTTTTTCTCCTCCCACCCCTTTTTTGTGTGTGTCCATTTTCTTTGTTTGGTCCTGCCATCCTGTATTTTCATTTGACAAATCCCGATCGATCGTCTTCCCGAAACGTCATCGTCTGTCTTTTTGAAGTTATTCTGGCATTTCTCACGCACATCCTTCTTTAGTTACTGTATTTTCCCTACTGACACTAACGGAACATTTACAGTTTAGGCCTTGGCGGGGTAAAAAAGCACCAGCAGCTAAATTAGACAATTTAACCCAAAAAAGGACCAAAACGAAAAAAACAGAGACACCGAGAATCCTGGTTCCTTCCCAATCACATTTCATCATCTGGCTTTCATTTCTCTTCTTCTTTCTCTTCCTCGCCCTACTGACTGACTGATTGACTGACTGACCTTGCCTTGCCTGACTCTACCTACTTACTTCCTACTGTCTGTCCTCTTTCTTCCCTCCTTCCCTCCTTCCCCTACTCCTACTACTACTATTACTACTATTACTTTCCCTTACACCACTAGCCTTTTCCTTTTCATTTTTTCCCTTTTTCCATTGTAATCCCCCACTTTCCCCTTCCTTCTCCCCCTTACTCAGCACGCACACACACCATGAGTACCATACAAAGTCTTAAGAATTTCATACGTCATGGCAAACAAGCCCGCCTGGTGACGCCGCATGCCGAACCCACCACCAATGTCTCTCCCATTCATGCCGAACAACAACGTCAACCCCAGGGCTCCTACCCCCCAGCTGCTGGCAACCTGGATGCCATTGATAGCAGGTTGGGCAACGGCCAGGCTCAGCCGTCCCAGAAGAATTCCGACCAGACCCGCCGCGCGCGCGAGGCCGAAATCGAGCAGATCATCGCAGAGGAAAAGAGCAGTCGCAACAAGATGCCCCGATACCCCGGCCTCGAACGCTATACCCTCGTCGAGAAGATGGGCGATGGCGCTTTCAGTAACGTCTATCGTGCCAGGGATAGCACCGGCGAATACGGCGACGTGGCCATCAAAGTCGTCCGGAAGTTTGAAATGAATAGTAATCAGGTAGGAACTGCGACCACCCACTCGTTTTCCTTGGTTGTGTCCTGGTTTGTTTGCGCGCTCTGGTTATTTCTCGTTATGCTGCTCTCTGTGATTTCTGATTTGCTGGTTTGCTTTGGTTCCTCTTTATCTTTCCTTTACCCTTTTTGAGTCATTTCGCCAATCTCTTGTCAATAGTCATCCGCCCATCTACATCCCGGGATGAAGAAGAAACCCAAAGCTACAGAGGTGCGCAATCCCTCTGGGATGATCTTCATGAGTCACCCATCCAACTCGCATGGGTCGCATGATACCCTGCCCTTGCCATGTCTTCTTTTCGTCTCACTTGCTATCAGTGACTCCAGAAATGTTTGCTCGAGCTAATGACTCATCTTCCTCATAGCGTGCCAATATCCTAAAAGAGGTCCAGATTATGCGACAGTTAGATCACCCGAATATCGTCAAACTGGTCCAGTTCTCCGAGTCGCGCCAATATTACTACATCGTGCTGGAACTCTGCCCTGGTGGCGAGTTGTTCCATCAGATCGTGCGATTGACCTACTTCAGCGAAGACCTCAGTCGCCACGTTATTCTTCAAGTTGCCAAGGCCATTGAATATCTCCATGAGACCTCTGGTGTCGTGCATCGGTAAGACTTAACATACGCGGTCTCGCCCACCCCCCTCCCTTGGATATGCTGACTTTTGCGACAGTGACATAAAACCCGAAAACCTTCTCTTCTACCCCATCGACTTCATCCCGAGCAAGGACCCCAAACCTCGTCAGCCGGGAGATGAGGACAAGGTTGATGAAGGTGAATTCATTCCTGGAAAAGGCGCTGGTGGCATTGGTGTGATAAAGATCGCCGATTTTGGTCTGTCCAAGGTCATCTGGGACAGCCAAACTATGACGCCCTGTGGAACCGTCGGTTACACCGCACCCGAGATCGTCAAGGATGAGAGATACTCGAAGAGTGTTGATATGTGGGCCCTGGGATGCGTTCTTTATACCCTTCTTTGTGGCTTCCCGCCATTCTATGATGAGAGCATCCAAGTTCTCACTGAGAAGGTCGCGCGTGGCCAATACACCTTCCTGTCGCCATGGTGGGACGATATCTCCAAGTCGGCGCAGGATTTGATCTCCCATCTGTTGACGGTAGATCCGGAGAAGCGGTACACCATCAAGCAATTTTTGGCGCATCCCTGGATTCGTCAGACCGACGAAGCAACCGAAGCAGCTGCAGATGCTCCGCCTCTGGCAACCCCGCTATCCACCCGCAAGACACAACAACTGGATGCTTTCGCAGCGGATCAAGCACCCTATGCCCCGGCCAGCGCCCGTCTCATGGACCCAGCTTCTGCAGGCCTCGAGCGTCCCATGGACTTCCGCTCCCCTGGGGCGATCAACCTGCGCGAGGTTTTCGACGTAGGCTATGCTGTTCACCGGCAGGAAGAGGAAGGCAAGCGGCGCAAGAACTTCCGTCAAGGATATCGTGGTGCGAACCCGTCCACGGCATTCCAGTCGGCGCTTAATCCATTGAACGAAGACTACGATGAGGCCGAAGAGATCACCTACCAACCCCTCCCTCGGGACGATTTCCCTCCGGCGAAGATCCCCAAAGCCTCCCAGCAAGCCGGTGATGTAGCTGCCATGGAAGCGAAACTCCGATCGACGAACCTAGGAGCGCCCAGCCACGCCGCGCAAGCGCGCCAAGCACACCAGCCTCGACAGCAGCAAGGATACGGTCAACACAGCGCCAAGGTTGCCGCCGCTGCGAAACAGAGCATTGCTCGGGGTGCGCGAGAGCCCTTCGAGCTGAGCCTCGACAACGCCACACTATTAGAGAAGAGAGGTCGACGACAACAGGGCCAGGTTGCTTAATCCTCTCACTTTCTCATACCATTTCCCTCCATCTCCTAAATCCACAACACTACCTGACGACTCGAGAGCCACAGGCTACGAACTCCCCTTGCTTATGAGTTTCTTGATCTGATGACCTAAACCCTATTCCCCCCTTCACCTTATTCGAACGTTGGACAGGATTCCTGGGTGGCTACACACGAACTCGATCGGTCGCATTTATTCTGGGTGTTTCTTTGCTCCTTGGTATTATCTTTCTTCTTTGATCTTTTCCTTTCATGGCTGGTAATCTTCTTTACTCATGTTTTAGCTGTATTCGGGTTCTGGGCACAGCATATGGTATGGTCCCTTTTCTTCTCACATTTGTATTGATTGTTGCTGGGCTGTTTTGTTCAATGAATGTTATTACGTGCGTGCCATTCTCCTCCGGGGTCATACATTTTAACATGCTTTGGTGCTTCGCATGCACATACATACATATTTACGAAAGGAGCACATTCGTGGCATGGATTCTTCTCACGATGCGTGGTGGGCTATATCTATGGATATTTGTGCAGCTGCTTCCTTTTCTATCGAGGTAGTCCGGCGTATGTACGGTTTTGCTTTTTCTTTCGTAACTAAAAGCGAATCCTGGTCGATCTATGTTAGTATATCTAGATGACCGAAATGGATGATTATGAAAATAGTACTTGTCTGTAGAAATATGCCTTTTGCCTAGTTGATGCATTCCCTGTGGCTCTTTCACACAAGTAGAGTTTACTAACTTGGAATAACTGGCCCTCTCCGAACAACAAACACCCCCTAGTGTCCGTCTGATTGTCTGTACGCTTATACCGACTTCTCAAGTCATTAGCAGCACATTCCTCCCCATGCAGTATCATCATCATCACCACCCTTTTCCCCAAACATATGTTCCACATCTGTAATCAGTTGGCGCAATATTCATGTTTCCCGTTCCATGTCTAATACATAGTAAGTAGTACTAGTACTTGTAGTAGCGATAGCAGCAGCATTCCATCTCAACTTACTAATAGTATGTAAATAACACCTCATCACAAACCATATCAATTATATCATCCCATCCCAATTCATCCTAAAATACTATGAGTACTGCATTAATCACTAATCGTGGTTAAAAAACACATTTCAACTATCTAGTCAATACTCTTATGTATTGGAGAAGCTTTCGGCTAATCCAGAAAATGAATATTGACTTTATTTGGTGCGGCATTGATTGAGGAGATGGGGGACACAGTTGGCGGTTGGATTAGTTCGTTGTTACTATGTATGTACTGTGAGGGATGAGAGATGGTGGTGGTGGTGTTGGTGTTGGTGCAAGTGAGGCGAGAGTCGTGTCGAGGAATAGTAAGTACTATTTACTATTGCTCAGTGCTGGAGGAATTGCGCTACGCTGAATTTGAATTGGGAATGGCTCAGTAAAAGTATGTTTTACAGTTAATCCAAGGAATACAAGATCACTTTAAATATGTAATCGATGATGAAAGTCATATGCAGTTTCCTTCTATTTCCTATGCTATCATAGTCCTTTTTTTTTTGCTTCTTTTGATCCTATATATACGGCTAACCAAAAGAAAAAAAGCGTCATCCACCCACACGTCATACAGCAGGAATATCAACACGTGAAAAGTAGTACAACCGAACAAATCGAATCAAGCAAACATGTGTACACGTGGAACCAGACACTATGTGCAATTCCGTCGTCCATGCAAGTCATTCACAACATTGGTATCATGCATTTAATATGCTCGCTTACCCAAGAACTTGAGACTGAGCGCATAATCATAACCAGCCGTAATGGTATAAGCAATCGCGAAATGAATTTATAAGTATGTGCCTCCCTTTTTTTCTCTTTTGTTTTTGTTATCATTTACAGCGTCTGCTTTCCCCGGGTTTCAATAGGGAGAAGACACATGGCCGCAAATGCAGCCAGGATCAGTCCACCAGATGCGTAGATAGGAGCATCTGGGTTGGCACTTCCGCCGTAGATGGCCACAAGAGGCGCGCACAGTCCCGCAATGCGGTTAAGGCAGCTGGAGATGCCAGTGGCTGTACCACGGTTCGGAGCCGGGAAGACCTCGGGAGTGTAGGCGTACAAGACGCCGTACATGATGTTCTGGAAGAAAGCCTCCAGGCAGGAGCAAAGCAGTTGGATGTTGGAGTTGGTCGAAGCCGTGAAGCAGAAGAGCAGCACTCCGGTAATCAATGTGGAGATAACCATGGTACCCTTACGACCAACATACTTGATTTCAACGGTGTAGCAGGCCAGAATCGACCCCGGGACACCGACAATCGAAGTGATGGCATAGTTTCGGTAGGCGATGTATGTAGAGCTGGAGCTGGAGCCACCTGCATTCTCGAGGTACTGGGGAAGGAAGGCATTGAACAGGGGATAACCCATTCCAATCGTAGCCCAGCAAAACCAGAGGAGAACGGCTGAAAAGTTGACTAGTTAGTCTAGGTTGAGGACGATGGAATATTGCGTTGAAGACATACTGGAGAAGCCAAGCTTCTTGGAGGAGAAGAGAGGTCCAATGCGTTCCAAGGAAAACTTGGACAGGTTCCTCCGGACGATTTCAGCAAAGCTGAGCTTTTCATCTGCCACCTCCTCGGGATAACCACCGATTTCGTTAAGGATTTCCTCAGTCAGCCAGGTCTTGGTTCGGTTCTTGTGGGCGATGCCGTGAACCGAAGCAACAGCGTCGCTCTGACGGCCGCGTGCGAGCAAATACTTGGGCGACTCGTATAGATGGAAGAGGAAGAAGCGGCAAATGAACATGACGAAAGTGAGAGCGCCCAGCGTATAGCACAAGTATCGCCACCCCATGTTGCTTTGCTTAGTGCAACAGGCCTCTCCGCTAGCAACATTACCACAAGCAGGCAGATCGCTGCTGCAGCTGTAGTTCGGAATGAACGCCCATGCGAGTAGACTGTTTGATTACTTGTTAGCCTTGGACTCAAGACATAGATGAGGATGACATACCTGGAGACTAGTTGACCGAGAGGCCACCAGACACTCAACATTGTCAGAAGGTTTCCCGAGGCAAAAGGCAGGAACTCCAAGAACAGAGCCCCATCGACAGGCAGGTTACCACCCACACCGAGGCCCAAACAAGCGTACAGGGCACAGGCTCTAGGACGATGCATTAGCAAGCGGCACTTCACAGAAATACTAAGGGGACATACCCGATCCAAGTTGGGGCACCACCGGCGGCAATACCAAACACACCGCAAATAAATAGTGTCATATTGAAAGCTGGGCGACGACCAATAATGTCGGACGCGATGCCCCAGAACGACGCACCAATGCAAAGACCCAAGAACAGGGAGCACGTTGTGAATCGGACCCACGTAGTAGAAACCCCAAACTCCGAGGCAATTGGTGTTAGCGTCAACGCCACACCCTTTTAGCGGTTAGCAATGGGTCATATAAGACAACATCTTCATTGAAATTAAAATGTATCTATCTCACCTGCAACCAGAGACTGGAGTAGACCAATGTTAGCCGAGATATAATTAATGCGGAAAAGGGAACCTCTTACTTGTCTGCTAGCCAGCCAAAACCACAGAGCGCAAAAAGCTGCCATTGGTAGCGGCCCATGCCAATATCCTGGATGGCTCTATTGATGAGTTTTGCCTTGCCTGTAGAAAATCCACGGTCAGATCTCAGGCTTTTGAAGGAGCCCAAATAGAGGGCTAATCATTCTAGAGGGATTTCGAAGAGCAGGGAGGAAGGACAGCAGCCGCCCCATGGGGCAACATCATAACATACGGTCATACGCGGTGTCTTTGCCTGATGTCGCGACATCAGCCTCGACTTCAGCGCGAAGGGCCTCAATGGTCAGGGTGCTGTAGTTGTGGACAGACCCTACGCCGGCTTCCGACGAGGGAGCCCTGTCCAAACTCCTATTGTCAGTCTTCTCATCAGGGCGCTCGGTTTTCTCTAGTGCAGGGTTCGGCTTGTGATGCGGAGGGGCTTCGGACAGGGGCACCTCGACCCCAGGGAAGTCGTGGTCGTTTTTCCGGAAAGGGTTGACTCCGAAAGGCATGGCTGCTGGATTTCAGTGATAAGGTCGCATGCGATGAGGGCAACTTTCGGTATGGGCTATGGCACCGGGAGTGGATTGGGGAGCAGGGTCGATAGTCTGCTTTGGCGGGCTTCGGCGTGACTCGGAACTACTTGTCGCTATGGTCTGCAAGGGAATTTTCTCTATCGATATCCGGGATGCTCAGAAAGCTAAGGGTCACCGATGGCTTCGCAATTGTCGCTAGGGTCAGATACAGTAGGCGCAATGGCTGTAGAATCGCGATAGGTTGGTGCTAGGGACAGGCTGGACAGGAACCAATACTCGGGGACCGTTAAGAAGGCGCTCAGGGTTATCAGTGGCCGGGTTTTCGTAGGTCTTATGTCGAGGCTATTGAAGCGCACGTCGTACAGCTGGAGATCGAGCAGACGGTTTTCGCCTTTGCTGGAGCAGGTTTCAAATATATCCAAAAGGAGTCAATGGTATATAGGTAATGCCAAGGGGCAAAAAAGCCAGGAACGCTGAGAACTGCAGCTCAGTCGCCCTATAGATGACAGGGAGGGAGAATGAAGAGGTATAAAAGGGCAAGGAACAGTGATAGTTCCGACTGACAGAGCGAATGAGTTGAACTTCTTCTCAGGGCGATGGGATGGCGCACGGAGAAGAGGATCAATCGACCGCACTCGCTGTCGTCTTCTGGCACACTCTTTGAAGTAATGCAACGGTATAAGGGGGAAAGAGTTGCGGGGTGGGGGTGGGGGTGGGTAGTATATGAGGTGGTAGAGATGAGGGAGGGTAAGCACAGGAAAGAACCAAGGTTTGGGGATGAGGAGAGGGAAGCTGAGGTCTATATACGCATCCAGCTTCGGACTGAAAGCTAACATGGAAAAGGAAAAAAAGACTGCATCGCAGCAATTCGCATCGCAAATCACTGTCTCTTCCTTCTTTCCCAAATTTCTTTTTTACTTTTTTCTGTCTGCTGCTACGATACATGGGGTGGTATGGGTCCGTCCCTGTAAATTAAATTAGTGCTTTTTGCAAACGCCGAGAAGTGGCAAGTGCCAACGACTTAGTTTCCTAAAGGCGATGTAATGCAACTGGTCGGCAAATCTTTTTAAATACCTTGGCAGCTGTAAACTCATGCATATTTTCTCTTCACTCGTTTTCCGAGTATCTTGGAAGTCTGGCTATGACTATCTACGGAGAGGCGTAAATATGCTTTCTCATGATTCTTCAGATGCAAATACCGTGATACATGTACCGAGCCCGTATGGCCCCCCATACTTTGGCCGGACTCAGGCTAGCGCGGGGCGATGGAACCACACCGGCCGAAACCGATATTTTATTTTGACAATGATGATTGGACCGTCTATACCCTGGTAGGGTGTCTTGGCGTTGACGGCGGACGCCATGGCCCTTGGCAGATGCAGACTGCAGCGATACCCCGGCGAAAATCGACTTGACGATTGGAGCGATGTCTTACCAAAAGAGACGATATGATAGGGAATATGTAGGGCTTATCTTTCGCAGAACTCAGCAGAGATAGGAGTACTCAATTGCCACCAAAAAGAGCGGGAAAAGGGCTATTTGGTGCGGCAAACCCTTAGCTCTGACTTCTCGGTATGCAATAAATGCTGCACAGCACCTTTTTTTTTTTTTGGTCTTCTCGTCAACACCGGGAAAGGGTGCACTAGGAAAGCCACTTCTTCCTCTAACCCACTTCTCGGCGGTGACCAGCTACGTTGACTGGACGGTAGAAATCGAGGGTTCCTCGGGAGGTGCCAGATTGTCCAAGCAATAAGACAGCTGGCTGGCATTCATCTCCGCAACGTGCGTTGGTTGATCCCAACGCAAGGGAGGCTCTCCATGGTGCCGGCTGAGGCGCATGGTCAGAATTTGGGGTAATGATGCCATCCGAAGAAGCTTAACTCGTCGTCATCAGTAAACATATCCTCTAAACGGCTCAGGACAGTGTGTACACATAGAACAAGTCCTTCCGAGACTAGGATTTCCTCACATGAGCACAATCAAGTCGGTCCACGTGCCAGATTCGCCCGATATTCTTCTACGTCATCGCCATAACTTCTGTAAGACACTAATCCCAACTTGGAATAGTTCAAAGTTACCTGACAACGTCGGTACCGAGCAGAGAGATCTGACAATGTAGGATGCCATGGCCACTAAGGCACTCCGTTGGCGCAGTTGAAACCTGATTTGGTATGTGAGAATCCGCCCTCTTGGTTTCTGTCGAATGCGAAGCCACTTTCTCCCAAGTTTCAAGACCAGGGACTGGTGGACTGTGTCGTACCTATGATTGAAGGCCTGAAAATCTATGTTCAACAGACACGAGTATCTTACATCCGATCTACACTCTGGAGATGGTAACCGTAAGCCACGAGCGCAGCCGCACCTGAAAAATCTACCGGTCCAGCATGCATGTAGAAAACGTACTAGGAGTCGCCGACACGAGGCACCATGATGAAGTAGGTTTAGAGGCCCAAGACGACCAGCCTTTCCCAGACGGGAATGGCACGGCAGAGGCCTGAGCCTGAGGTCGCCAGTCCAGTCCCAGCAGGGATCATCGTTACACTGGTCCGTCATGACTTCCGCAACCGTTTCTCAGATACCCCGTTCCCCGGGTCGTCCAATCATTGCTCATAAAACAGGCCATAATTTCCTACAGACGGGCATCTCTAATGGGGCCACAGGCCACAAATGGCTTTTGCTCGGAGGCAGAGTGGTAGTAGTAATAGTCGTAGTCATGCAAATGGCTCCCTAATTTACCAACCGGGCCAACCACAGGCAGTTCTCTCTCGACAAAAGGGTGACCTGCTAGACCTGCTAAATGGGGGCCAAGACCAGCCTGTCGTAAAATACAGCCAACGGCTTGTCCATTCGCACACGGTTTCTCTGCCGTCAAAGTCCGCTCTGTATTGCCCTTTTGGTCATGGTTAGTTTTCGGACCATCTTGCTTTCCGCGGGAAGGTACGCCGGTGGTACCATCGCGCCATAAGCTGGAGGACTAGAGGGAAACCGTAGGCCAAGTTCATGCTTATGCTTCTGTCCTGGTTGCCTCGCTTCATGGATGGGCTGGACCATGGCATCTTCTCTACTACATCAGGATGTCCATTAAACAGATAGCAGCTGAGATCGAACCCCTCATTCTCCCGTTATCTCCGGCTGATGAATGTACCTCCAACACGACGGCACGGCGACAGACGATGGTTTAAGCACTGCATTCAACGGAAAAAGACGGGAAAGTTTCCAAACTAAGCGGACTGCAGACGAATTGAGTCGCTAATGAAGATCCAGTTCGTAGAGTTCCCATTCATGTATCAGTAGCTTATGGAGAAACTACCAAGGTGCGGAGATAGTGTACCGGGACAGTTTTTCTCTATCGGGACATATTATCCAACTTCATATCGAAATCTCTCGGCGCCACTTCCAACGCAATCCGGCAGAGGAAGCGAACGAGGACGTGCTCTTCGAATGGCTGTTCGTGGACTTATCCCCTCCGCTTCTTCACTCGGACGCAAAACGTTGGGACTTCCGTGAGCCATTTCTTTAGAAAACTAGCGGTTCTGTCACAACATTAGCGGGCTTGGAGCATTCAGATACTGATCAAAACAATGGCGCTGAGCAGCTGCGCGTTCTCCGCAAAGCCACGAGAGCTTCTGGACTTTAAGGAGGATTAGTTGACGTCAGTCGAACACTAACACCGGCCCTTGGGGCACGAGAGTACATTATCTCATCTTGCCACGAAGGATGGCGTGTCCGCAGCGATTTTCGCCGGTTCCAACTCGGGGGAAACGTTCTCCTGACCGACTGTGGTGTTTGTAGTTGGGGAGATAGATGATACCTTTGACACCGCCACAGATAGAGGTAATGAATGGCCTTCGGAACCGGAGAATTGAATAGTCCCGGCGGCTGTCGACACGTGATCGGCGACCGAGCATCGAGGGGCTGCGCAGTGCGCGCCTGAGCCTTTGGTGCGCGCTCCCTTTAAGGCCAATATGCCAAAACAATACTCCGCATCATAACTCTGATTACCTCCTGGCTATGTACTGCGCCACATGCCAATGTGGGGGGTAGACATCACATACTTTGAATTTCTCTGTCTATCTGGCAAACGTTCAGGTCCTCGTCCGACACCAGAGTCGCTCGTGTCGGTTCTCACAGTTCATACACCACCACCATGACCAAGATATTGACCTCCAGCCAAGCTGAGGAACTGTGAGTATATTTATGCCATGGCCTGCCGTACCTTGCTTGCGCGCTTATACGCAACCCAGGCATAAGTCGATAATCGCCTACCTCTCATCAATAAATGCCTCGCGGAGTTGTGAAGTGCTGCGGGAGGAACTCCAGGTGGACAGTAGTTTCGACGATGCGCTGTGCCGGAAATATGAGGGGCTATTAGAGAAGAAATGGACCGGAATTGCTCGGCTGCAGAAAAAGGTAGGTACATGTGCTTGACAGGGTCGGTCGTTTGGGGTGGTTCTTTCCTCGTCGCTGGAGAACTCAGTAACTAATCACCGTGTAGATCTTGGACTTAGAATCTAAACTCGCTGGGCTCCAAACCGAGCTTGACACTATATCACCTACAGCCCGTTCCACCGGGAAGGACCCGATAAACTGGCTTCCTACTTCTTCCCGACACACATTCGAGTCGCACCGAGATGCTGTCACATGCGTCGCATTCCATCCTGTCTTCACCTCTCTCGCCTCCGGTTCCGAGGACTGCACAATCAAAATATGGGATTGGGAACTCGGCGAACTAGAGCGGACACTCAAGGGCCATATGAGGCCGGTCTCCGATCTCGATTTTGGCGGTCAGAAAGGACATACCATACTAGCATCATGTTCGAGTGATCTCCAGATCAAACTGTGGGACCCGAACAAGGATTATGCCAATGTTCGGACTCTTTCTGGGCATGACCATTCAGTTTCGGCTGTGCGCTTTTTGCGACAGACAGATAACATTCTTATTTCGGCTAGTCGGGATGCGACAATTCGGATATGGGATGTGTCAACCGGATACTGTGTCAAGGTGATCGACTCGCAGGGCTCCTGGATCAACGACGTATCGCCTTCTTTCGATGGAAAGTGGCTGGTCACAGGAGGCCGTGATCAAGCCGCGATGGTTTGGGAAGTCGCATCAGCCAAATCGGTTGCGTCATTAATAGGCCACGAGAATTTCATCGAGTGCTGCGTATTTGCGCCTCCCTCAAGCTATAAGCACTTGGCCGCTATTGCGGGACTAAAGACAGCACCACCTGCGAGTAGCTCCTCCGAATTCATTGCGACGGGAGCTCGTGATAAGACGATCAAGCTCTGGGAATCCCGGGGCCGATTGATCAAGACATTAGTTGGGCACGACAACTGGGTACGAGGCCTATTATTCCATCCTGGCGGGAAGTATTTAATCAGTGTGGCGGACGACAAAACAATACGTTGCTGGGATCTGTCTCAAGGAGGAAGACTGGTGAAGACGATCAACGCCCACGGGCATTTTGTTAGTTGCATTCGTTGGGGCCCAGTACCTGTGAGCGATGTTCCAGTGGAGACTTCTGAATCGACTAAAAGTTCCAAGACGGACTCTGTCAAGCCTGGGTTTCAATGCGTCATTGCAACAGGGAGCGCCGATTCAAGTGTACGGATTTTCACGTAGTTTCAGAGGTAAATGATTGCATATATCCTAACCTTTTCAAAGACTAATACCAATACGAAGACTCAGATTCATGAAGCTCCCTCCTCCCATCCGCAAGACACATACACACTCACACCCTTGTAAATGCAATCCCAGGAGAAACCAACAAGCAAGCCCCGATATTCCGAGGTCGAGGTCGAGGTCTCCAGCCGCAGATCCCTTTTTCCTGTACACAAACAAACCCAAACACACTGCTGCTCATCGCGGCTCCCGACCAGGAGAATTGATTGATGAAATGATGAATGAGATTATGACTGAAGCTGAATCTGATACGCGCGTTGGTTGCCTAGAAATAACATGATGATGTCTGAAGTAGGAGAAGGAGAGGACCTTAGGAGAGGGAACCGGTTACACATCACAGGGTCATGTCTGGATCAGACATCAGACATGCAACATTCGCGAAGCAAAAAGCACAATGCAGCGCGACCTTTCCCACCACTCAGACCGAGATGGAGACGAGCAATCTCTTCACGCATCGCATCATGCATGTCTACTTTTTTTTTTTTTTTTTTTTCTCTTTTTTTGCATACCCCCTATTTATCTAAGATAGCAGGGCATCCACGTCCCTTGCTGCTTTCTTACTGTATGTGACTTTTTTCTTTTTTCTTTCGTTCCTGCCGGTTCCATCAGGGCATCTGTCTTCTCCCCTTGCAGGAAGCATTTCGTGGAATGGGAATTTCTCGCACCAAGGCGCACGGTCTAGACTACTTAGAGACTCTGCGGCTTTTCTGGTTGGCATCATCCTTACTATCTTGATTGTAAATAGATTCTCTATCTAGCTAGCTTTAGTGCCAATTGCTTACAGACATGCATTGTTGGCAAGGTGTATCTGATATAATCGCTTGCTCCGTCGTGTCCATTTCCTGTGTTACGGCATTAGTGGAGGATACTGAGTGACTGACTTGCTAAGTATTTACCGCTCGCTCGCTCTCTCTCCCTCTCTCTCTCTCTCTCTCTCTCTCTCTCGGACAATTGTTCATTTTCAGATCATATAAGTCAAATATCGTTTCTTGGGCAAGGCACATTGAGTTTAATGTACGATTGGACTGCAGCTTCAGGATTAAAACCCGAGTTAGCAGTCAAATAGCGTCATAAGTAGAAGTGCCGAGGGGTAGAGTGTGTTATGTTGTGCTTCAAATCAGCTACGTTATGCTTATTAGTTACAATTCTTCCGGTCTTCAGGTTGAAAAGATAGGGAAAGAGAGGGCAAGTAGGTCAGTACTCTACTGTGGATGTTACTTTAAGAAACTGCCAGTAAAAGCACTTCATGTACATTCGCATACAACGTATCTACAAATCATAACTTATGACTATCATCGTGACATCGTCCCCCCTGGTAGCTTACCCGCCTTACAGGGTATCCCGCCGACCAAGCAGCCACTCAAGGTGACGGTATGACACTCTGGGTTGGAATTGGGGCTGCATATGTCCGCTCTGGAAGGTCTCAGCCCACATGAGACCACGCTCATAGTGCTGGATGCCCATGACACCCTGACCACCTTGTGGGTCATAGCCGTTCTCAATGAACACTTCATTGTACATCAGGTCAGGGATGTCGATGTTGATGGGGGTGCTGGGGGCCGTGTCGAATCCAAGCTTTCCATTCCATGTCATGTTCTGGATCGAGAGAAGGGTGCCGTTGGTAAGGATGACCATGTCATAGTCACCGTTACCGATCAGAACTCGGTTGGTGCCTTCGATGACCTGCGGCAAGACATGCTCGATGGGGTTGGCCGAGTAGTCGCCCTCCTGCTCGGGACCGCCGTCGCCCCCGACAAAGACGCTCTCCACCGAGCACTCGGACCAGGTGATGTTAGGAGCGTGCATGGCACGCTTAACATCAGCGCGGTCAAAGTAGATGCTGGCGCCCGCAGGGAGATAGTCGACTTCGGTGGGGAATCCAAGAACGTCCCAGAGAATGGGGCACATCTCGTTAATTTCGTAGGGGTTGAAGCACGGGTTGGGATCCAGGACGGCGTTATTAACGATGTCATAAACATCACAGGTGGGATCGCTCCAGTTCATAGCCTTTGGTGGCTGGACACCGGATGCTGGGAAGACAAGATACTGGTCGATGAAATCCTTGTATCCACATTGCTCATGGATGCTCTCTAGTTCCGCCAAAAAGCTTGCATTGAAATTGAAGAGGGCATTGTTCTTCTGGACAAAGGGAACAACAGGTGCTTCCTCCTGCACGTAGTCAAACTGACCAATACAGGGATCATATGCCAGTGCACCTAGATAGTACAATTAGTACAGGCCCGAAATTGAAGATTACTTTGGTGAAGTATAACTCACCTTTCAGGTTGAAGTGTTCTGTATCATTCTGATCCAGGAAAGCAGCGGATATGTAAGGAACATAACGGCCCGCATAACTTTCTCCAGTAACATAGATCTTGAAGTTTTTGATCCCAAAGATCTGCTGCCAGTTCTTGAAGAACTTCACAAAGTCTTCAGCAATCTCCTCCTCGGACGTAGCCGTTGGGACTCCCAGAGAAAATCCCGTCCCCACAGGTTGATCAACCCTACCAAGAAAAAGGTTAGGTCAATACTTCCCGACAGATTCAACCAGCAGTCCAATAATATCGCACTTACCACAGAACATTGGTGAGATTCACCCACGAGTATGGGTTCTCAACAGGCTGGTAGGTTCCAGGCTGCCACACGAATCTACCATTCTCCTGGAGGAAGGCCTCAAGGGAACTGCAACCAGGGCCACCATTCAGCCAGATGGTGATCTCATCCACAGGCTCGCCAATAGTGGGTTGGAAGACAAAGAAAAGGGACCGTGACACGTTGCCCGTCTCAATAGGGACCAAGCCGGAATACATCTCGCCCAGATCGAAGTGAACATCAGGCAGGCTTTCCACGCGGTAAGCTGTCCGACGGAAGCAAATCAGCCATCGTTCAATATCGAACTGAGATACATACGCTTAGTCTTGTTGTTCAAGAACTGATAGTCCTCGACAGGGATCTTCAACGAGTGTTTCACGGCGTTAGCGGAACGCTTCGCGATGTTCATGGCGTCGCGAGCTTTTTGGCCAAATCGACCATGTTTAGCAGCCGAAGCATTATCCGTGCACAGCGAGACGGCTAGGACAGCCGTTGACAACAGACTGCGAAACAGCATACTGAAGGGCCTTTGGGGGAGGGGCCAGTGGACAGGCGTGCACGAACACCGAGCCTATCGATGGGGGTGCCGGGGGCTTTATATGCGGGTGCCAGTTCCATGCTGCCTAACGATGATGTAGTGCAGCGACGCTAAGACGACGTAGCACATGGAGGGAACCATATGATTGTCTGAGTACACTCTCAGAACCAGGCTTCTCAGCCACTGACACAAAGTAACTTGTCGGGAACTGGAGGGCGGGGAATAGCAACGCGGCAAGGTGATGGGACCTTGCAGAAACATCTCTGGCGGGGCCATGCGCGAATAGGATGCAACGAGGTAGCGAAGAGGTACCAATGAGAAGCTCGCGGGCAGCTATGGGAGAGGAGAACCAAGCATGATCCCAATGATGTTGCAGCGGCTGCCCTCGGAAAGAGGCCTCGTGGGAAGAGGAATGCGATGCTCATTTCCTAATGCGGGAATTCAAGCGGAAACTGCGGGCCTGTAGCGTGATGATAACGATTGTCGGTGACGATACCTTGAAGTCGTATCAGGTCAAGCTTCGGCATTCGCTAGTGATAAGAGGCATTAATCAGCCGATATCGTGATGAATGGAGCCCTGAACGCCTCCACTCGGTCTTGCTGGATGGCTGTGATACGATGGATGGTCCCGCCGATGTCTCAAGGTCTCGCGGAGTACGTCGGGGGTCCGAATGGCAATGGGCCCGAGTGCAGAACTGTGCAGTCCTGCAGAACGGTAGCGCGCGCAGCTATCCAATAATCCGATAATGCCGTTGTTATTTAGGCTGGTTTGCTTTTTATGTCGACTTATTGCCTGCCCATTAAGCTCGAGTTGTGTGCAAAATACTCCGGCCGGGAGTCTGCAGAGGGCCAGTTAAGACTTTTAGACGGGAATGGTCCGTGCGGGCTGCCGGGATCCGGGTAAGAGGGCGTTTAAAGACAAAGCCAGCCCCGATTTGTCTGTTGAATAGATAGCTTGAACCCGTCTGTAAAGATCATTCATATTATTTTTTTTTTTTCTGTGGGGAACATATCAGTTACATGTTGTTTAGTTTATCCACGGGTTTGCCATGATTTGTAGTAGAGTGGATTCCATTGCCGTGGTTCCTGTAGGAGCCGGCGGAGACCCACACAATCTGAACTCACACATACACACATGTAGATAAGCCCCCAAGCCAATTCTTCCAAGAAGATACTCTAGAGTAACATTGAAATATATCCACATTTTCTTGCTCCTTGAGATCGTCATATACCTATTGTCTACAGTCCTCATGCATCCGGATGCGCAAAAACTGGAGAATAAAGCGTGGGTGATTGGACTCGTTGCTGTGGTTCTCTCGCTTATGGCTATACTTACTGAGGAATAGATACACCGATTGACCTATTTACATTATAGTTCTAGATCAAAACTACTGGATAATGATTCATCAGAATATGTGCACTGTCTGATATAAGCTTCAATGGGTTTAGATTTCCTGAGCGTCGAAGGTGAACGTCCATCAGATCATACCAAACATGAAATGTTCTCCGTACGGTCAGACCAAAACAGGAAAAGGAACAGACTGATGGGTTGTCCATGTAAAAGCACATCCATGTAAGGAGACATACTCATGGCAAATGTCGCGTACTAGAAGGGGGCAGTTGCAGTTGCGGCACCATCCTGGGTAAAAGAATCGTTGCGTCCATAATAGATCTGAGCGCGTTTCTCTTCAGTATTATTCCTGATGCTGTCCATATATTTGCGGAACGACCGGTTCATTTCCATCACCTTCTTGAAATGGTCGCTCTCAACAGTGATCTCATCTCCCTCGTGGTAGTATTCGCTCCTACGCATATCGTATTCAGCCAAAGCAATGGCAGTCTGAAGGGCGTTCCGGATCTCGCGCCCATTCCAGTCCATCGCGCTCATCTCATTTCCCATGAGAAATTGAGCGCAGGCCGCGGTGACACGAATCTTGCCTCTCTGTTCCCCGTGAAGCTTATCGAGAAAGCTCTTCCAAATCTTTTTTCGCTTTTCAGGGTCAAGCTTTTCGAAGCCAATGATGACATGGACCCGAGAGATAAATGCTTCATCGATGTGGCCGACCCGATTGGTGGTCAGAAAGAGCAAGCCTTTGAAAAACTCCATCTTTCGGAGGAAAGCTTTCGAAAATGCAATCAGTGCCAGGTTATCAAATGTTTAATCGAGCAGTTATAAAGTTCAGCCTACCAGAAACTATTCCATTCCGGGCAATATCCTTGTGTTCGCGACGTTCGAGAAAAATGTCGGCCTCATCGAGGAGCAGAATTGCTCGCCATTTTTGGGCAAGTGCAAACCAACTCGTAAGATGAGTTTCGATTGATTCTTCCTTCGTGCCAAGGTCTGCTATTGTCAGACTAATCAAGGGACGACCGGTATTCATTGCAATTGATTCTGGATATTTGTCAGTATTATAATGATCATTTCGAAGGCCTTAGCGGGCTAACTCACCTACTGTATACGTCTTCCCGACTCCAGGGGGCCCTATAGTGTAGCTACAACATTAGCTGGGAAGGACATAATACAGCGTGAAGAACTGCTACCGAGCACATAACTGACCGTGAAGTAGCACCACGACACCTTCACCTTTATCCTTGATGAAGTCTGCGGACCAGGGATTTTGCGTTTTGATTTGACGATCTGACAGGGCTTTAATGATTTCAAGGTTTTCAGGTTTTATATTTGCATCCGGTATGGTAGCCGCCTTCTCCAGTTGCTCTGCATAGTCGACGTTCACAAGTTCTGCGAATCATGGTTAGCAAGATGCCCTCTTCCCTTATCCCAAAGATTATATTACCCCATGTTTTGGTCAACAATGCAAATGCAGCCATGACTGGGCATGCCATAAATAGGTGTTCATCGGATAGTAGTGATTTCGAACATTCGCTGGCATTCAAATCCAGCGGAAGCATCGGACTTATTGGGTTTGGATCATCTTCGACTTTTGCATTCTTGTCACTGCCCGGTCTCCAATCGAATGTCCAGTCACTTTCTGGAAACTCAACCTGGATATCACAGGGTCCGATTATAACGGGTCCATCATACTGTAAGCGATCAGTACCTTCGCCAGTTCAAATTGAATCAGAGATAAGTTACCTTTCTTTTCCCCTTATCCATGAACCTACCACTATATTTCATGTACTTATAGCCACTCCATATGATGTCTCGAACTAAGCCACCCCTTCGCTGAAATGCAGCCCGCCTTGTGCCATTATCCTGGCTGTCATGGAACTGGCATGGGAAGACGGGCAAAGTGGTCACAACCTTCTCACCGTCAAAAGCCTCTATAGATATCTGTCGAGGTGCACGACCAACAACATGTTGGTGAAAAGAACTGTCTTGAAACACAACGCTCACCATCCAGGCTTCCTCTACATCATCGGTCTTCTCTCGATACTGCACGCTTTCAATGATTCCACCAAGCCATATATCGTCGTTAAGGAAATAGCTCAGCATTCCCGGTTTCAGAAGATACCATATGTCTTCGAAGATCACTGTGGGGGTTTCTTTCAGTAGTCGTTTGTCAGCCGAAAATGCCACACGCTGGACTATTGGATCCAAGAAGTGTAGCAGCACGTTGAGGTGAAGGCACTTCTTCAAGAGATGAGCGACGGGGTTTGCGGCGATGCTGGTGTCTAATCGCTCCCTCAATTCTCTTAGCTCCCGGATGTGATGAATTAGCACCCTATAAGGCTCATGGACTGTCACCTCATCACCGACCAGGTTTTGACTGCAATTCATTAGCTTCCACGTCCCGTGCACTGTATTCAAGACCTACCTCGGGTAGTACATGACGACTTCTCGAATGGCGTCTAGGAGCGACAGCGAGTAGATGATCATTTTGGCCTTTTTCATGCGTTTAACCTTCATGAAATCCAGTGAAGGCGTTTCAGCCTCTTCTGGCATACCACCAGGAGGCAGCTCAACCTCGACATTTGTCACTATTTCAAACACACAGGATGGCTCCTCTGTGGGAGGGACCTGCTTGGGCTCTTTCACAACTTTAAGCTGCAGGGGGACATCGTGGGTCTCTTTGAAGTCCGCACCATCCCAGTTGTAGCAATCATAGGTATACTTGATGGGCTTGAACAGATCTTCCGATTGTTCGCTCTGCTCCGAACCGGGCAACGCTGCGCCATCTCCTGGTGTGGAACGTTTCGCACTGTCAACAACCTCACAAACGACCGAGGTTTCAACACCGGTATAAGCCATAGTAGAACAAACAGGGTTAGGTATCTGTGTAAGATAAGATAACTCTGAGCAGAAGTTGCTTATTGTGGTGACGGGTTTGGGGGTAGACAACGATAGATAACCTGATTCCAAAGCACTGGGTGCTCATTCGGGATCACTGTTCTGCAGAGAAATGCGATCTATTTGACGTACGATGCATCCAGGCCGTACTTTATGAAGCGGTACGTGCCCTGGCATTCAGATGATCAATTGACAAAAGAAAATATGTGACGATGTGGCCGTATCAAGGTCGGGAGACCGTCCTCCGAATAGCCTAAAGGAAGGAGAAGAGGCAGCGCCGCCATACTTGACGTGTCAGCTCGGACTCTGTCCACCAGATTGCCACTATCAGAGAGAGCAGCAGACACCCCAATCACCGATGGATGCCGATAGGCCTCTCCATATTGCTTTTTTGTTGGGTGCCCATAAATTAACCAAAAACTCATAGGTTAGGGAAATACAAATGAAATACGACAGGATATTCAAGAGCAATGATCAGATAAATTTCGTATATATTACCGTTATTTATTCGGAATGGCGGGTTTTGCGTCGGGGATCGAAACTCAACCTGCGATTTGGCGATGCCTGGATGTCGAGCTTGCTGCATCTTACTGCTCCACCTTTCAGCTCCCTGCAAGCTCGGATTGATTGATTCTGACATCTACTCCATGCACGGGTAAGGTTCATCCCGTGCTTGATAACAATAAGCGTGTCATATAACTAACGTGTCATGCAGCGCTAACCAGAGTCACTCCGAGGAGCTTAGAGCTTACTTTAATGTCAGTGACTAACCATATCTATCAGTCCTCACACCGGCGCATAAACGAGTCCAGATCCGGGGGCTCCGAATTCAGACATGTGGGAGCCTTTGATTGGCTTTAGTGACTGTTATGAACCTTAAACATGGCTGCAAGTGTAGCCTTAGAATGACGAGAATACTTTACATTCAGCTAGTGCCTCATCGGGAATCGGGGATCGGGGAGCATGCCTCGCACCAGTGGGGAAATGATACCGTACGGCTGAGAAACACCCAAAAGCGAGAATATTGCTTTTAGCCAGTGGTGTCTAGTAAGCATGCTCCGTGAGCGGAAATTGCGTATCAGAATGGGCACCAAGCGAGTCTGCGCCCCAACAAGCTGACAATCTGTCTGGCCAGGTGAGCCCGTCTGTCATATCCATCTCTTCTGCTATCTGACTTGCCCATGACCTAGCTCAGTATATCTTCTGAGACCCAGGCATCGGATTTCATCGTCAACATCTTCCTATGTTACCATGCATCACATCAGGCGTAGAGCAGGCGAGGCCATAACACATGTCCGACAGTTCAGTTCCAAAGTCAAGAATGAACAACCCGAGGAGCCGTGGGTGTGAGTGACCAAACCCGGATCGAAAATCCTGCGTCTTGGGGGGAACGAGGACATGCTGATAGATAGCCCGACAGGAAAAGCCTTGATGAGCATGTAAAGTGGGAGGTTAAGGAGGAGAGTGAGGGAGGGAGGCTGTTCAGTGAATCCACTGACCAGACAATACGCTTATATCGGGATGGGTCACTGTCCAAATCCGCTTTGTAAGGGAACACTCGCACGCTCCCTTTCCAGTGCCGCCTCCTGACTCTCATATGATCTGGCCTCGACTTAAGACCCTCTTCGTCCATCGCATTTGCTGAATCTGACGAACTCAAACTCATAACAAAGGAGCTCGAAGGGACGTGGAAGAAGGCAATCGAAGATCTTATCAAGAAGCGGGGGGATGATAGTAACAACCTCGCTGAACTCATCAACGATCCCACTCCAGAAAGACTTGAGGCGATTGTGCGCACAGCACAAAATGAAATGGAGGCAAAGACGCATACAAAAGGGGGTAGGGTGAAAGGATGGTTCAGTAAAGTGGCCGGACGAATTGACAACCATAAGTACCTCCTTGATATGCTTCCTTCCGGCGATAAGTACACCTCAGTCTTGATCGGGGGCTTAACTGCCTGTTTTAAGGTCTTAGATTAACCCTCCTTGTTGAGCCTGCACACTGCGAGACTGACACTCCTAATCAAGGCTACACTGGAGCACGCAGCAATTGCAGAGTTAATCTCCGACTGCCTTGAAAAGCTCTCTGACAAGACCTACAAGCTAGTTAGAGCTATCCGAAAGTCGAATCGGAACGAGTACATTAGAACCCATATTGTGAAGTTCTATAAGACGTTATTTGGGCTCTTGATTTCGATACTCGAGCACTGGTTTCTCTCACGAACTCAGCGCTGCAAGAATAGTTTCGGGAGCAGTTTCCAGAATCAGCTCCAATGCTCGATGAACGATCTTGACTATCATGTGAAGGAACTGAGTGACGAGAATACCACCATAATGATAGAAGAAGCGCATCATATGTTGGGTCGTTTGGCTCAGGCATTTCTCGCTGGCGGGTATAGTGATTCATGGCCGACTGTCACCAACGCCAGTAATCAATATAGGAAGTCTGGTCAAATTCCTGCCGCTTCACATGCCATTCTTGGTCTGCCTCATATTTCTGAATCTAATTCAGCAGCAAGCGTGGCATCAGACATACAGGATGAACAAAACGACCAATACTGGACCACTCAGACCATCTTGGAAGGTACAGCGTGGATGAAAGAATATGTCTGTTTCAAGAGAGAGGAGAGCCTGCTTGAGGAAAGCCGCTACGGATCCACAAACCCCCAGGTATACTCTCGTCTAGTGCAATGGACTCAATCGGTGTCATCTCAGGTGCTATGGCTTGAAGGCCCGGCAACAATGGGTGACACGACCCCAAACACACTAATCTCAGCGCGCATCGTCGAAACATTCGGAAGGCTTCACGTTCCTATCGTTTCGTTTTTCTGTCACTACGACCCCGAACACTACAGGACATTCTCCCGTCCAGAAGAGCTCTTGAAGATGGTGTACTCTTTGACATCTCAAATGTTAGCTTTTATCCCAAAAGACCTATCCTCTGTCTGGGATTCTGAAGATTTGCCGGATCTCTCGCCCGCTCGAATTCGCCGCCTTACTACGGATCCTAACTCGCTGCCCGACGCAATTGGTTTCTTGAAGGATATAATTCTCTTGGGACCACCGGTCTTAGCCTGCTGTGTTGACGGACTCCAACTCTTAGATTGTCCGGAACAGTCCCGTTGGTACCAAGATTGTTTGAAGTCCTTCATTGAAGTTATAGGAACGACGAAACCCCCTCAGCCGCGCATAATGAAGGTATGGCTCTCCACTGACGGATACAGCCAGGCCCTCCAGGCTGCCGTTAACGCCGGCTGGATTGAAGCCGATATTACAAACAGCGAGGACGACACAGAGCCTCTCGAGATAGAGCAATGGATGTAGCCGGGTGTATTCAGTCCTTTCTTTTGTACCCTTATCACACACATTGAACACAATCCGGCTAGTAAGAGCCCTTAGTGGATATAGTGTTGATGGAGTCGGAGCAGCTTTCTTCGGTTAAGCAATATTACACAGACCTTGTGGGTCAAGCCATACTCACTTTGCGACAGAGGGTGGTAGATAACTACTCCGTACACTGATCCAGTAAAGAGAAAGCAAAGAAGAAAATATAGGAAAAAAAAAAAAAAAAAAAAAAAAAAAAAAAAAAAAAAAAA